TTGTTAGACATAGCAACGATAATGATAATTGTAAAAGAGAAGTAGTGTGTTTGTATGCTCATTTATATTTTTGTTAATGGATTAATGAATGTATCTTGTTAGACTCTGTTCTGTTCTGTACAGTTTCCTTATAAATCACTTGTGTGAAGTAGGCTATGCTTCATTTGATTCTACTAAATTAATAGTCTGTTTATGTGCATTTGATCAAATGTGTTGTTGCTGTTTTTTAACAATGTTTCGTTGCATTCTTTTTACTGTTAACCCAAATGATGGATCCTGGCGCATGTATTGGGTATAGGTCTCTGGCAAAATATTAGTTAGTCTTTTTTTTGTGATCAACTCTTTATTGTCTTTATGAACAAAGATAATATTAGTTAGTCTTTAACAAGAAAGACTCTTTGCTGAATGCTGAATTCAACATGCTCTCTATTGCCACCTAGTGATTGTAGATCACTGGTATGAGATCTGATTCTGGACGGCATTTAAAGGGGACATATTGTCACGTAGTACCTTGAGTCACAAAGGTTTTGGATCCAAATGCAGTATTTATTAAACAGGGTAATCCAAAGAAGTAATCCATCGTAGTACAGGCAAGGTCAAAGACAGGCACGCAGTCAATACAAACATACACAACAAGGCAGGGAACACAGGGAAAAGAGTAATCCACGGAACAGGCAAGAAATCCAAAACCAAAAGACCTGAAACCAGGGAGAAGGCTCGGAATTGCAGTGTAACACTAAACAAGTCTTCACGGCTAATGAATAAGAAAGCCAGGCTTATATGGGGTGTGCTAAACAAAATAATGAGACACTGGTGAATATGATAATGAATGAAGAGTCTAGACACACTGGGTTTGTGCGTATTAATACACACCATAAAGTGCGTATCAAATGCACGCAAAAAACACGTACCATATACACGCAAAAACTGTTTTTGGTGTATAAATGGCACGAGAAAATACATTCGTGCTATAGATACGAACTTTCATGAGATCGGGCTCCATAAACACACACATACAGCCGGGGGGGTCAGGCCTCAGAGAGATCGATATCTCCTCAGAAAGCAATGTCAGGCGGCTGAAAGAAAGCTCCTTCCACGACGCACACACATTTATGGATTATTCATTAATTCCCTCATTTTAAAGACTTTATGAGATATATTTGAAATGATTTTATATTGCCGCTTTTCCAATGATGGTACAGCTCAGTACGGCACGGCTCAGTTCGCTTTAGCTCGGTTTGCTTTTCCACTGCAGTTAGTACCGCTTCAAAGTGGGTGGGATTATAATCTGACCATTATACTTTATCCGCTTTTCGGCAACCAACGAGAGGAACATCTGCACTTCGTCCACTGACCACGAATCAGCCATTTCTTTTTTGAAAGTTTTCTTTCTTTTTTCTTCAAGCAAGTCAAGCAAGTAGCTTTAAAACAGGAGCTTTAGCGGTGGCTGTTACAAGCTATTTAAATCTAGCGTGTTTGATGTCTCGCAAATACAATGACGCTGGTAGTGACGATTTTGTCTGACTCTGACCAATCAGTGATCTGCAGTGAGTTCTCGTCACATTTTAGTATCGGTACGGTAAGCTTGGTACCTCAACAGAGGTGGTACCATTTAAAGTGAGCCGAAGCGGGCCTGGCTCCAGGGTGGGGCCCCTGCTGAATGCTGGGCGATGTCAAGGTCCTCAATTTTAACTCCATCATAAAGGGTTTTTGAACCGCTCTTAGTCTGACCCGTCACCTAGGACCTGTTTGCCTTGGGACAACATATAGCCCTGGACAACATTGCTCCTATAGGGTCATTTGGGTACTCAAACCCCTCCACCAAGGTAAGGTGTCAGTTCAAGGAGGGGGGCAGTTCAAGCTGTCATTCATAGTGAAAATAGATTTTGATTTGTTTAACTAAGTGTAAATGTGTTCTTAATTAATGATCTTAAAGGGTTAGTTCGGTATTTTACACTTAAAGCCTTCTTTTAAGATCCTTTCTGATGAAATAGAACGGTTCTGTCCCAAGAATTTTAGGTTTCTGTGTAAGACCCCTCCACCTACACAATGGTTGTCTATGTGCACTGGAATAATCATTCATAAAACGTATTAAACTTTAGTTTACAAAGATGTGAAACTCACTGAGTGGTCGGGGGTGCTCACACAAAAATCGCTGCAAAAGATGCTTTCCAACAGGTGGACCAAGTCAAGTCAATGGAGTCGGACAAAAACTACGGAAAAACACAGGTGATTTTCGCTCTCTACTTCATGTGAAGTGATCTATCGATGTTCCCTTATCCCCTATGCAGTTCACCGTGCCCTTTGAACTGAAGGTGTTCACTTCCTTCGAATTGGAATCTCACTTAGGTCGTGTGTCCACCAAAGCGTTTTTAGCCAGCTGAAAACGCTAGACGCTCTGCTGAAGACGCCGTGCTTTGGGCGCTTGAGAGCGTTTTGGTAGGGCAGCGTTTTTTTCCGTTGAGACGTTTCGTTGCTATGATACAGAATATCCGCAACAGTTTGAATGTTGTGACAGTTCACAGTTGGTCGGTGTGGTATTAGTCCCGCCCCTCCTCCACTGTGATTGGACGGCTGGGTAAAAAGTGACAGTGATGAGTGCTGCGTTTTATCCAAAGTTGCACATTTTTCAACTCCCAGCGACCAGTAAAAACGCTGGGCACTCGGCGCTTCAGCGTGAAAAAAACGCTCAGCACCTCGGTACGCTCATGGCGTTTAAAAAACGCGGTGCTCCCATTGAAAACAATTGAAAACATACGCCAGGGGCGTGGAAAAACACTTTGGTGGACACACGGCCTTAAAGGGATACTCCACTTTTTTTGGAAATAGGCTCATTTTACCACTCCCCCAGAGTTAAACAGTCGAGTTTTACCGTTTTCGAACCAATTCTGCCGATTTTCTGATATTTAGAAGAATGTCAGTAACCAGACAGTTTCTGGTCTCATTGACTTCCATAGTATATTTTTTCAAGTCATGTCAAGTCAATGAGACCAGAAACTGTCTGGTTACTGACATTCTTCTAAATATCAGAAATCGGCTGAATGGATTCGAAAACGGTAAAACCAAACTGTTTAACTCTGGGGGAGTTTTAAAGTGAGCCTACAGTATTTCCAAAAAAAGTGGAGTATCCTTTTAAGATGGCAGAATACCCTGTGAAGTCCACTTTACAGTCCATGAAATGCATCACTAGAGGTGCGTTCGAATGGACCGTAAGTGGACTGCAAAGTGGACTTCGCCATCTTAAGTGAGATTCCAATCCGAAGGGAACGAACATGTTCAGTTCAAGAGCACTGCAAATGGCATAGGGAATAAGGGAACATCAATACATCACTTCACAGGAAGTGGAGAACGAAAATCACCCAACTGTCATTATGCACCGCATCATCAGTTCGAACTAGCAGCCCGGTCTCATCCCAAGGAGACATATAGGTGACGCTTTTGACATTGCGTCTACATCTGAAGCACATGGCACCCTTTAGTGTCAATATGAAACGCAGATATATATGGGCCAGAAGGCGCCTCCAAGTGGTCTAACCCCTATAAACCTACCCATAACCGAAGCGTGTTATATTGACACTAAAGGGTGCCACGTGCGTCAGATTTAGACGCAATGTCAAAAGCGTCACCTATGACGCCCTAGGATGAGAATGCGTTGAAACTAACCATAGAGCAGAGCCGTTGGAAAAGATTTTAGATTTCAATTGCTAACCGCTTTTACATATTTATCAACGTTTAGGGTGATGAACGCATCTACAGGCCTATATGATTTTAAATTAGAAAGGAAAGTAAATTACAAAATTTTATTAAGTTATCAAAATCAGCGAGACCCTGTTTGTTGCCTTTCTTTGATGACGTTGCAGGGCAATCCAAATGAGTAATTATTGTCAGCAAAGTCCACTTCAACTGATGTACCGTGTTCAGGGAGTAGGGAGCAGTGAACACTGTGTAGGGACCTTGTCGAATGGAACGCACCTTAGTTTTCTAGTGTGTGTCAGTTTGTTCCCTTTACTGATTACATTCACCTGTTTAGTTTCCTCTTTACCTCTCTTTGTGTATTTAAGCCCCTTAGTTCTCCGCACGCAGTGTTGTCTTGTGTTAACGTGGTATATTTGTTTAGTGGTTCTCATTCCTTATCCTGTCTCCTAAATGTCAGTTTATTAAAGACTATATTGCATTCTCCATTGTGTTTACTGATCAGCATAATATCGTGATAGATGTATGCATGTATTAACCAATCCAGAATAGTTCAACTTGATCATTATTTAAATGTGTCAAACAGTGTTGTAGTCGAGACCACCTCACTCGAGTCCGAGTCGAGACCGAGACCAGAGAGAATCGAGTCCGAGTCAAGACCGAGTCCATAGAGAGACGAGTCCGAGACCAGAGACGGCCGAGTCCGAGTCGAGACCGAGACCAGTGAGGGTTGATTACCTAATTTACTTTTATTTACTTAGAGAAATCCTTTTTTTTTTTTTTTACTGAATTTACTTAGAGTTTAAAAAATATGATCAGTTTAGGGTAAAAAGGCCACATAGTAGGTGGTGTTAAAAGTAATTTTATTACAATTTGTCATGCGTAGTTGCGCACTAGAAAATCACCAATCACTGGGCGTGTCAATCAATTTAAAGAAATATTTTATTAACATACATTAATAATCATGAAAAATATTTTTAATTGAACTCGAGTGGACTCGGGAATAAGTCCGAGTCCTAAAAAAAAAAAAAAATGTTCGAGTACGAGTCAATTCCGAGTCCAAATGCAGACGAGTCCATGACAAGACCAAGACCATTAAAATATGGTCTCGAGACCGAGTCCGAGACGAGTCCGAGTCTCGAGTACTACAACACTGGTGTCAAATTTAGATGCTCATCTTCGGTAAAAAATAGCTTTCATGTGAGGCCCTTTTAAGGTTTGTCGTCTGGTTACATGCTTCTTTGAATCTTATTTCCTGCTTTTTTTCCCTTTGTCAAACCACATCAAGCATTAGCAATAAAACAACATATTACCCACACAGTTTTGAGGGAGGCCAGTTAGAGTAGTATTAATAACACCTGTCTAAATAAATAAGAGTGTTTTTTGAAGCAATGGAAAGATGGTTAGGTTACACATTTTGATGTGGCGACAGTGTGTGAAAGCAGAAAAGTTAAGGTGAAAGTGCACATGTGTCTCAGTTGACTGAAGCAGAGACAGATGGACACATGGTAAGGACACAGTCTAGTGATCTACCCTTATTCTTTAGCGTGTGTGATGGTGTGGCTCATTCGTTTGCTTTTTTAGGGGAATTCAACGCCTGAGGATATATTTGGAAGACGACTGATCATGAGATATTACTTCATTCTTTTGCTTTCCTCAACAATATGTAAATATACCTAAATGTCTTTTAAACATTAAACATGTCTATATATTAACACTTTCAACTCTAAAACTTACTATTGTGTGCTTGATTTTGCAGTCTGCTCCTCTGATGAGTCCTCTAATGTGGATGTTGTTCAGGAAGATGAAAAAGTAGTTCGAGCTGGAGAGGATGTGAATCTTACTTGCAGCTTTTCAACGCTTCTACAATCAACAAAAGCATGGTTTAAACGGGCATCCAATGGAAAATCCATACAAATTGTGTCTTTATATTTAAATCAACAACCCAACTGGAATAAGGACTTTGAGAAAATGAATCGTTTTAATATTACCAAAGGAGATGATCATTTTAATCTGACCATTTTACAGACAAAGCCTTCAGACTCTGCAACATATTATTGTGTCGTCTCATCATATTACACTATTGGAATGGGTGCAGGCACTAAATTATTTTTTAAAGGTAAGTTTTACTGCTTGTTATTTTAGTTCTGTTTGATTTGTGGCATTTTTTGCTTACTATTTCGATTTCTTTTGTCACTTTTCAAGCTGGACACACAACTGTTCAGCAGTCTTTGATAGACACGCTTCACCCAGGGGATTCAGTGAATTTGCAGTGCAGCGTCTTCAGTGAGAGTTGTGCTGGAGAACACAGCGTCTACTGGTTCAGACAAAGCTTGGGAGACTCTCAAGGAGTCCTTTACACCAAAGGAGAGAGAAATGGTCAGTGTCAGAACAGCAGTGAGTCTCAAACACAGAGCTGCGTCTACAATCTCCTCAAGAGCAACATCAGTGACTCTGACGCTGGGATTTACTACTGCGCTGTGGCCGCATGTGGAGAGATACTGTTTGGAGAAGGAACTCAACTCAATTTTAGAGGTAAGGTGAAATGCAAATGTCTGGCTTTAAACGTTGAAATGTTTGGCTTTTTCTCCTATCTTGAAAAGCAGTTGATTAATATACTAGAGTACATGATACCAAAGACACCAAACTTAAAAAAAAAATTAAGATCAAATTAATTGTGTTGCAGAGAGTGGCGGTGTGAATCCATCTCTTCTTGCTCTTGGAATTTCAAACATTATATTGTTTGCTCTTGTTGTATTTTTGGGAATAAAACTACTCAGGAGTCAGAAAAAAGGTAGGACTTTGTGAATAAAATTAATGTATTATGCTAAAAGATAAATTGTTAAAAATGTAAATGCCATTTATAATGAAAAGGCTTGTTTCTTCACTTCCTAAAGTGCTCAAACCTCAAGAGAATCAAGTAAGTACACAATTATCTTCCAATTGAGATCTTTTCACAAATCTTTATCAATGTATATGTTTTATCAATTTAATATTAGATAATATTATTTTTTCAGGGTTTTTTAAATCTTTTGTTGTATGTTATGCCACATCATGTGTAATTTTCCTCTCATAATTGGAAATTATTTTCTCTCTTGATATTAGAACGAAGACAGCATGAATTACGCAGCCATTAGCTTTGGTCAGAAACCTCTGAACACTAGAAGGACCAAATCAAAAGTCATTCAGGAGCAGTCTCTGTACGCTCAGGTCAGAACACAGCAGTAACATACAGAGGTTTAGTGAAGCATTTCACTTCGAAACAAATATTTTCATCATGATCTTATAAGATCAATTTAATTCAATTTTTCAGAATAATTTTGGTAACTTCTACATTTTAGGAGTTGACTGTTGTCCTCGGAAAATTAAACCTCGAGTATAGTCTGATAATTTTTACCGCAATGAAATTGTGAAAACTACAAGATGATACACTCTAAAAAATGCTGGGTTGTTTTAACCCAATTTTGGGTCAAATATGGACAAACCCAAAATGTTGGGTTAAAAATGTAATGTAAAAATTTAACCCAACGGCTGGGTTAGTCCATATTTGACCCAAAGTTGGGTTAAAACAACCCAGCATTTTTTAGAGTGTAGCTAATGTCACTCAGTCTCCATATTTGAATGTCTTTAAGTGTTATTATGGCTTTGTACTGTGTATTGTTAGATGCATTTATTTGGCATAGTAAGGATCATTTTGGGTAAAGAAAGGTCATTTGTGTTTGTGCATTGGTTTTATGTGGATTAATAAATTGTATGTTGTTAGACTCTGTGTCTTTTCAGGTCAACTTTGGAACTTGTGACATGTTCATTTTTACAGTTTCCTTGTGAATCACATATTAATTGCATAGTAGCCTATATATGCTTCATTTGCAACTACTAAATTAAATGTATGTGTATGTAATGTGCATTTGTTAAAATGTGTTTGTGTGTAATGTTGTTTTTATTCTGTTAACTCAAATGGTGGAACCTGGTGCTTGTATAAGATAGTTTCCTTTAAAAAAGTGCACATTTAGTTGGTCTTTAATAAAAATTCTTAAAGGGATAGTTCACCCAAAAATGAAATCCTGTCATCACTTAAGGCCCTTTCACACGGGACGCGGCAAGCGGTGGAATCACTACGCGGCTGCCGCTTACGCTCCTAGTGGAAGCGTTTTGTGCAGTTGAGGCGGTGCTTGCATTGTGAAATTGCCTTGGCATTTGGCTTGCTTAGTAGGTACATTTAATATTTAATTATATTATTGATTGGCCTTACTTAAGGTGGACAATGACGCAATTCTCTTCTAGAAACAAACTTTGTTGTACTATTTTCATGTTATTACTTTGAAGCTGCTTTGATACAATCTGTGTTGTAAAAAGGGCTGTACAGTATAAATAAAGGTGACTTGACTTAACTTGTGGTCTCTTGGCAGACGTTGCTAATGCCATAGTTACAATCATCATCTTTACAAATTTTGAGGCCACCCAGTTGAGGTGGTGCTTGCGTTGCGGTCTTGGGGTGGACGTTTAGGCTACATAGTTACAATTATCAACAAAACAAATAGATAAATATATCTTAATGGATTTGTTTTTGTGGTGGTGTCATTATTAATTATTGTTATTAATTATTTATCAATAATATTTATATTTTCAGCACTCAGTACAATGGTCTATGATCCATCGCTAATAACCTGTTCGATGATTGGCCACTCACAAAAAGATTAAATATTTGTATCTGTGTTGGCGCAGGATTATCTTGTGAAAGCGGCAGTATTTTGGGTGAATGAGCATTGCTTGTAACCCAGAAAACCCAGACAACTTCCAGCAAATTTAGATTTGCTCTGAAAGTTAGTCTGGCAAAGTGCTCATTCAAACCCATTTCCAGTCCGCAGAAATCGCGGGACCAATCAGAAACGTTGGGGCGGGCTTTACACGATGACGACAGCGCTGGGATTTTGAAGCAGATTTTGTAGCCTACATCACAAAGATGGATGCCGCCGTCGAACATCACTCATTCAAATCAGCTATCGCGTCTGTTTTTAAGCGATTTGAACGTTTCCTTTTTGTTAAAAACCGAGCAAAGAACAACACTCTCCGCCGGCCGCCACTGTGCATACGTCATCTCCTTCATCGCTCTGATTGATTTTAGGTCTACCCATGACGTCCGCTGGTGACGCCCCTCTGGAAATGATTTGTCTATGACGCCTTGCCAGACCTTAACTCAGTTACAACTGATAATGGTCTGGTTTTAACCAGGCTATTGCTTGTACTCGCCCACGTTTTGCCACTTTCCACATGTTTCCTATTGAAAATTAGACACTCACAACTGTGTCCCGTGTGAAAGCGCTTTCATTCACCCTATATTCACACTCATCAAGATATCTTGGTATCTTGGTATTCAAACAGTTGGCGGTAGCAATTGAATTCAAACCCATACTAAGTCAATGGGTGTCATCAACTGTCTGTTGAGTGACCAACATTCTTTAGAATAACTTCTTTTGTGATGAACAGAAGAACATTCATACAAGTTTGGAACAACTTGAGGGTGAACTATCCCTTTAAAAGAGGGTCTTGCTGAATGCTGAATTTAACACATGGTCTTTACTGCCACCTAGTGGTTGTAGATCATTGGATCTATTCACCTTCTATTTCACAATACAGCAAAAATACACAGAACACAGCAATTCATATGGAAAGTACTTTATTTATGCCATCATATATCTGTAGAATACATTTATAAGAACAAAAGTTGACTAATTGTACAGTGGTGTCATAGACAGAAAGCATATTGTTTAAATTATTGTAGATGTTGGTTTATTACATGAACAAAGCAAATAAAACAATTGTGTACATTTAATTATTGCAATAAGATATTGAGAAAAATATTAACTGTGGCTGGTCTTTAAGTCACTACAACATATCAGCCCATTAATAACTATAATTACTGATAAAAAAAATTAAAAAATTCAGAATTGCCCAAATGAAATGATGGCTATTACTGAATAATACTAGCTAATATACAGCCGGTTTGTGTTTTTTATTTTTGCCATGGTTTTGCCATCACATGTCTTTTGTTTCTCTTCACTCTTTGAGTGTTTGGTGGTGATGGGTGAAGTTCACTTCCTTATACTACACAAAAAAAAAAAAACATTCCAGACAATATAATTTTAACTTCCACAAAGTTATAATGATAAATCATCACAAATATATTAAAAGTGTTTTTTACATCTGGAGAGTTTCATTTCACAAACCTGAATTATTGACACATCATCATCAGTAATCTGAATTTGCTGATATTTGCCGTCTATCGCACTAATAGACTCTGTAATAAAACACACAACGGTTAGCCCTCACATAAATGATCTAATTCTAATATAGGGGACATCTGACTAAGAAAAATGTATATATTAAAAAAAGTTTGCCGAATATTTAAACTTCTCAGTAGATCATGTACTATGCCGTAACAAACTGTTGATTGTAGCAAGACTTCTAACAAGCGCTTACCTTTCCTCCTCATGCAGCACAGCAGAATATTGATCGTAAAGTTTGATGTCAGCAGCACCGTAAGGACAGCTATAAAGATTATGTGTGTGTTCTGGCTCTTGGGGTTGTCTAAATCACGAGAAACAATATTTCATATACATAACACATTATATGCACTGTAGGTCTGATATTTTCTATGTGATGTTGAAAAGCTCACACTTACCTGGATTCAGTTTAGGATCATTTCCCAATAAAGCCTCTCCACACGTGGCCAGTGCACAGAAGTGAATTCCAGCATCTGATGATGAACTGAACTTTCTCTTTGGGAGGTTGTACACGCAGGTCGGTGAAAGACAGCCAGCTTCAGAGCTCTCCACACACTGATCACTTGTGTTTCCACGAATATAAATGTATCCTGGAGGAGATTCTCCTGATCCATGACTGAACCAGTAGAGACGATCTTCACCTCCACCACTCACAAACTGGTTTTGGATTGAACATTGTAGAGGCACATTTACCCCCGACTCAACTAGTTCAAACTTGGGCAGCTGTAGATGAGTGGGTTTGCTGGTTTCTGCTCCTGAATGGATGATGTTTTGTATAAATAGCAGTTTTATTTCCAATATCATCATTATAAACACTTTAACATGAAGGTGACATGCACTGACTCACCTTTAATAACCAGACGAGTGCCATTTCCAAAGTTAACGTAATTAGACAAAGATGCTGTACAGTAGTATGTGGCTGAATCTGATTGTACGGTGTTCATGATCTTCATATTAAAAGTGTCAGTCACTCTTGACACTTCAAAATGACTTTTGTCAAATTCATTATGAAATTGGCTTTCTGATGAATGGAGAAGTGAGGAAGCGATGAGACGTGGTTCTTCTCCAGTGACTTGCTTGTACCATGAAGCCAGACTTATTTGTGTTGCTGAAATGGAGCAGGACAATACCACTGTATCTCCTTCATCAACTGATAAAACTGAATCCAGTTGAATGTTTCCATATAGTCCCACCACTGTAAAATAGTGAACATTGTGCATCAAACAACTAAAACGAAACATTTATATCAGATAGACTAATTAGAAAAATCATAATTATAGAAATCTAGTATACTTACAAATTTCTGTTAAGAGTAAAACTATCACACAATGTTTTTTATCCATTTTCTTCTTCAGTTTGGGAACAGAAGCTCAACCACAGTTATATAATGTTGTAGCCTATAACATATGTCTTGAAGAACAGCACTGTCACATGATTCTGTCCTGTTAGCACTATCACCCGTTTCCTGGACCTGACACAGTTGCAACCGCAGATTAGACTATGCAGTCTATGATAAAATACAAACCTGGCCTCATTAGGTGAACAGTTGTGTTCTCGCTTTTACATGGACTGGTTTTATTTAAAGGACGTGATAATTACAGATGATTTGGTGTCAAATAGATCTGTGCACACATACATTGTCAACATGATAAAATTAGAGTTCAGACTGTTATCTGTTAAGCAACTTAAGCTTAGTTTAAAAAAAAAAATGTTTTTATAAAAAGTCAAGTTTATAAACTGCCCACAATCTTATGTTGTCTGTCTTGATGGTCTCATTTTCTTCACCACAGCTACTGTATGTATTCACCCCATTTTCTCACATAGGCTTAGATTTGTAAAGAATTATTAAAATTCTTATAATTTGCATTTTCCAAAATCAGTGCTTATGTTGTTTTGATTTTGAATAGATAATAAAAATCTGCCATTGATATAAAATACCTGCACTCATCTGTAGGCCGTTTGCACTGAATATATGGTCTCTGCTGCCACTTTGTGGTTTTTGGATGTTGGTGCAAGATCTAGTGTAGATGGGCTAATTGATTCTTAAAGCCATTTATTTTCCTAATTTTTTTTATATTGATTTGAATTGTTTCTTCTCAAAAATGTATTGATATAATCAGTCTTTTCAAGGTTTTAAT